TAGCTTCATGAAAGTCTTCCACTTGGAGAGCTCTCCTGATTTCTAAAGATCATGAATTCATACTTTGCAAAAAAAAAAAAAAAATCATACTTCGCCTTACTTGTCTTTTTTTCTTTCTTTTGTTCCTTTGAGTTTTTTTTTTTAAATACACTTCCCTGTGGCTATGTCAAGTGTGTATTTCCCAGATTGTTTGGACACACTCCAAAAGAAATATCTCTGCCATATCTTTAAAGAAAAATGCATTTAATACATATGTCTAAAAGCTAATGTTGCTGGAGGGGAGGAATGGGAGCCGTGATAGAGGGCAGAGACAAGTTTCATATTTTACAAGCAAACTTCTGAGCAGACCTCTGAGCCTTAGCGTTTTCGGAATATGAGTTAGCCAAGTCAGTTGTGAAAGCCTCAGCCCTGGAATAAGCAGGAAAAAAGTAATGTTATTTTCGTGAGTTTTGCACTACCTAATTAGAAATGCATTGTTCCGAAACCAGCCCCAACATCGGTTTGTTTTAAGACTGCCTGCTGCCCTGCACTGTGGGTTTGCTCTGCAGCAGCCCAGTGTAGCACAAAGACACAGAAGTGAGAGGCCAGACTCAGAGCGAGCAAGCGAGCACTCTGAGGGCAAGCACTGGGTATCCCAGGAGGATTTTCTCAGTGTGGCTAGCCATCCTTAGCAACATTGCTTGGACAGGCTGGCTCTTGGTCATTTGAGCAGCCACGTTGATTTAGCAGTCCTGGTGCCCTTTGGTTTACTTATACTATAGATTCCTAAATAGATTCCAAAGAAGCTGAGTTCCTGTCCATAAGATGGACGTAAAATGTGACAGGATGAGGTTTGGGGTTTCAATGAAGTGGAAGCCACAGGTTTGAGAAGTACAACGCGCTGCATTGGTGGAACACTCCTTTAATTCCATCATTGGGAGAGAGAGGGAGGGGTCCTCTGTGAATCTGAGGCCACTCTGGTCTTCAGAGCAAGTGTGAGGCCAACCAGAGCTACGAAGTAAGACCCTGTCTAAAAGAAAGAGGGAGGGGAGACATGGACTCAGTTGAGTGTGGTAATTGGTACATGCCCGTAACCCTGCATTTGGGAAGCCGAAATTGGTGCATACAAGGTCATCTTGGGCTGCACAGTGAGACCCTATACCTCACAAACAAACAAACAAACAACTAACAAAAACAGGAAGTGTGTGGACTCAGGAAGGGGGCTGCTGAAGTTGGAGTCTCAGCTTTCTTCTGTGTAGCTATGTGATATTGACAAGTCAATCAACTGCTGCGTGCCTCAGTTTCCCTATCTGTAATGCCAGTGATTAAATAGTCCTTATTTTAGTAGTGATATTCTATGAGTTACATTTGCTCACCTAGTAATGGGGAATATGAGCCGGGATTAGATTGTCATGGAACAGGTTTGTTTTACCCTGCTGATCATGTCCATGTGTTGCTGCCATGGCAAAGGGTTATATATGTAAGACAAGTGATGTGTGCATTTGTTAAATAAGTAAAGTAGAAAATAATTATGGGTAGTGATCAATCCTAGGATTCAATATCAACCTCAGAGGAGAAAAGATACAAATGCTAGAAGCAGCACCCAACTCGGGCATATTTAAATAAATCCGAACGGTTATGGTATGATATATTACCGCCACTGTTAAGATGAGACATCTGAGCTGGAGAGATGGCTTAGTGGTTAAGAGCACTTGTTGCTCTTCCAGAGGATTTACGTGCAGTTCCCAGCACCCACAGGGATGTTCACAAACATTTGAAACTCCATTTATAAGGTATCAGATGCTCTCTGTTCTAGCCTATCATCAGGTATGCATAGAGGGTCACATACATACATACATAGATACATACATACATACATAGATACATACATACATACATGCAAGCAATTCACACAGGTAAAATTAAATAAATAAATACTTAAAGCCTTTAAAGAAATGAAACAAATATGTGTCTGTGTAAACATATATAGTCCTCTGATGTATTAAGAGAAACAAATCCCAATATAGCATGTATCTTAGTTAGGGTTTCTATTGCTATGGAGAGACACCATCACCAAGACAACTTATAAAAAAAATTAATTGGTGGCGTGCTTACACTTTTAGAGGCTTAATCCATTGTTATGGTGGAGAGGATGGCAGTGTTCAGGCAGGGATGGTTCTGAGCAGTAGCTGAGAGTTTTGCACCTGGATCTACAGGCAGCAGGCAGAGAGCCACAGGGCCTAGCATGAGCTTTTGAAACCCCAAATCCCACTCTGAGTGACATACTTCCTCCAACAAGGCCACACCTACTCCAACAAGACCACACCTGTAATTCTTCCAATCTTTTCAGGTAGTTCACCAACTGGGGAGTAAGTATGCAAATACCGAGTCTACAGGGGCCAATCTCATTCAAACCACCATAGCACATGTGCGAATCATTATGAGTACTAACATTTACTAACCATTTTCTGTGTGTTGGGCAACATTTTAAGAGCTTTGCATACATTATCACCTACTCTCCATATTAAGGAAAAATTCTTTTTGTTTCATTATAGAAATAGAGAACACTGAGTCTCAAAGAATTTAGATCACGGGGCTGGAGAGATGGCTCAGAGGTTTAGAACACGAGTTGTTCTTCCAAAGGTCCTGAGTTCAATTCCCAGCAACTACATGGTAGCTTATAATCATCTATAGTGAGATCTGGTGCCCTTTTCTGGTATGCAGGCAGAATGCTGTATAGATAATAAATAAATAAATTAAAAAAAAAAGAATTTAGATCATTTGTCTGGAGTCAAACAACTAGTGTGCAGATGAGCTGGATCAGTCTTGTTCCAGGCACCATTTATTAATCACTATGCTAAGCTAGTCTCCTAGTGAAGTGCTTAGATTATGCACAAACAGAGCTGTGTGCATGGGCTAGGAATGTAGTTCAGTTGGTAGAGAGTTCACCTCCTGTACGCAAAGCCCTGGGCTCAATCTACAGCACCTTGTAAATCAGGCATAAGGGTCCACATCTGTAACCCACCAAGGGGAGGTGAAAGCAGGAGGATTAGAAGTACTGCTGCTATATATCAAGTTCAGCACTAGCCTGGGATACACAAGACACCATCTCAAAAGCAACCCAGGAAATCTAATCATATATGTATACAGAAAAAAAAGGAAGGAAGGAAGAAAAGAAGGAAGTCAGAGAAATGCCTGAAAACACATGGAAATGGAAGAGAGACTCCTACTTCTGCCCTTTTGGTATTGAGCTCTGGCCTTTAACTGCTCTCTAGCCTAAAACTTTCACTTTTTGTGACATGTACTTGTATCTTGTTTGGGTTATTTTATGACAAAACAAATATAAATCCACACAGCTGTCTTCACAATGGAAAATAATTATAAAGTAAATTAACCCACTTGACTTATTGAGGACTTACTTGCCAGGAAGAATTATTTAGTGCTTTACAAATATTAAGTAACCTAATCATAAACATCTGTTTTGCTGGTGAGAAGACAGAGTTTCTTATCACCTGGCTGGCAGACCAAGTGTGGTCTGCACATTCTGTGTGTTCCTTGCATGTATTATACATGCATATGTGTGTTCATTGAGTCCCCAAAAGTTGCCACACATTTTCAAGTGCCAGATCAAGCCACAGGAATACCCTGTAGTGGATGGTGAAAACAGCCTTTGGAATCATAGAGACATGGACATGACTTTAGCGTCTGCTAGTCACAGTGGGCTGGGACTAGCTCTTTAACAGCTTTCACTTGAAGACCCTCCACATCAAAATTGTAGGTAACACTGATCTCTGTCTCCCAAGAGTGTAGTGAAGATGAGAACTATTAGTACGATACTGTGCTTACACAGAACTCATATTTTGGTTTTTGTTTGAGTCGGGATCTCTGTATTATGTATCCTCGGCTGTCTTGGAAGTCACAGTGTAGACTAGGCTGGCCTCATCTCAGCTGGCCCACAGAGATCCAGCTGTCTCTGCTTCCCGAGAACTGGGATTAAAAGTGTGTGGCACCACACCTGGTCAGAACTCATCTTATTATAAGAAGTAAGTCAGTGTTAATTTTTGCCTTTTGTGTGGCCTGGGGTTGCACCTCAGTAGTACAGCCCTTGCTTGGTACATGAGACCCTAAAGTGCCCAAGAGCTGCCTTCTGCCCTGCTGAGATTCTGAACAAAGTGAAACAAAACAATCATGAGATAAGGCCCAGTGCCCTCCGACAGTGGCTTAGGTCTGCTGCTGCACTGTCTGCTGTTTCATAGTAAGCAGTGCAGGGGGTGGGGGGAGACACAGGCTGCTTCCTGCTGAAACCCGAGGGGCATGGGTCTCCCCAGTCCAGCTGACTTCTCAGGGAGCAGAGGGACTCCCCCCTTTTAGGCAACTCAGTCGTAGGAGCAGAGTTGATCCTAAAGCACACAGTTTGTCCTCCTGAACTCAGACGATGCTGAACCCAGGGACAGAAAGGAACAGCCAGAGTCTAGGAGTGACGCTGAGTGCTTTCCACATGGAAAAGACATTCTCTTCTAAGAAAGACAACAAAGACTTCAAAGGAAGGCAGAAGATCTTTGATGTGTGTGAGGTGGTATTCTGGATGGAAAGTGAGATGCAGAATGATGAATATAACAAAATCTCATGTAAAGTTTTGAGAGGACCTACACAAACTATATTAATAAAGACACTACACAAAAACAACCACCGCTGCTATGCTTTTGGAATATGTTGAAGAAGAAGAAACTTTCATTTTTCGTTTACCTACATTCTTTTTGTTTATTGTTTTAATCTTTACCTGATGTATGTATTGCTATTATTTCTAAAAATACTGCTAAGGGTTATTAAGACTGAAAGACTGAGAATCACTACTGAGGGATTTTTTTTTAATAACTCCCTGCCAAAATATATATATATATATATGTATATATAATAAAGTGTTATTTTAAAAATACAAACAAGATACTGTTAAAAAAGTTCTCTCTCTAGCCTTGAGAGTCCTAATGAACTATAATCACAGAGACGCCAGACTAGTCAAAATTGGAAGAAAGAACTATAATCACAGGAAAAGAACTCTCTCCACAACTTGAAGGATCCCAGAAAAAGCAGCAGTAATGACAGCAGGGCTGACTTCAAGAAAAGCAGAAACAGGAGCAGCTGTGGTGGCGCCTGGGGTGGGAGGGGTGGATGATAACATGGAGTGACACTGGATCCACCCGGGACCCAAGGACAACAGGGAAAGGAGGATGGAAGACCCAAAGGGTAAAATCAGCAGGACTCAAATCTAGGAGGAAATGATGAAGTGATTATGACTCATGACCCCGCCGGTCCTCTCGGCAGCAGTGGCCTTGGAGAAACGTCGTCATGGTTGTGTAACTGAGGCATGGTATTGGAGAAGCTGGAAGCATGACGGAGCAGCTTCCCGCAGCCCCAGGTAGTCAAAAGGAGGTCAGTGTGACTGAGCCTGCAAGCAGGTCAGGTCACACGCTGCCTTGGACAAGCATTCCATCTCTCCCTGGGTTTGCCAAAGCTCCAGCAGGGAGCTCTTACAAGGCGTGCACGCGGCCTTATTGCTTGTCCCGCTCTGTCACCGAACAGACCCTGTAAGAGAATTCCAAAGTACAGTGAACTCGTGTTGCAATCTTTCAGAGATCACAAAACAGATACTTTAGGGCCCAAATTCCTGAAGCAGTTCTGTTTTATTACAAACCTCACATTCCAGCCTGTGTTCGAAGCGCTCGCAGCTACCCACGGGAAGACTTTCTCACTGTTCTCAGCACTTAAGCGCCCAAGAACAAAGCTGTTTCCCAAACTTCCTCCTCACGAAACGAAAGCAGCCGTTATACGATAAAGCTCGGAGCTCCACGGCTGAACAGCCCCTGGTTTCCCTGCCCGAGGTCACTCGGGCAGAAACAGAGAAAGTAGAGAGAGAGAAAAAAAATCTCTCAGGCAGGAAAATGAGTGTGAGGATTAGTCAGCAGCTAGACCGGCTCCTACGTCCATGAGGTTGTAACTTTATCTAGACAACATGGTCTTTCCTGGAAGAGACTTGAGCAGCGAATTTATCATTTTATAATTTGTGGTTTAAATCTCAGCCATACCAAGCAGCTGAGGCGCTTTGGACTCCTCCTAAAGCCCCAGGAGACAGAAAGACCACTTCAAACTTGAGGCCCCAAACTCCTCAGGGTTTGACTGTGGGCGCACAAAGGGCAGGGTTTTTGCACTGGTTTTCTTAGGAAATGTATGGAACCTGGGACTCGTCTTTGTTTGTTTTAGACTTGGGGTGGGAGCAGACTTCGGGAGTTGGAGCCTGGGAAGGGGGAGGGGCCGCTCCTATCTGGTGACAGCGGGTTTTCATATATTCCAGGGTCCCCCTGGGAAAAGAGAAGCTGGAAGCAAAGAGGGGGGAAATGGGTGGAGAAATGGGAAGCTAGGGGAAGGGAGGAGTGCCAGAGATAACTGCTGACTTCACAGTTTTCCACCGGGGCCTGCCCTGCCTACCTCTGTTGACATCAAAGCTTTCCCAGCGCCTTTGCGTGCCTGCTCAGTCGGCGCTGCCTGCTGCCACCCGGGGAAGAGCTGGCGGCTAGCCCTGCAACAAAGCGGAGCACAGAATTTCTGCAAGGAATCTCTCATCAAAAACACCCGCCCCCTTCCAGTTCTGTGCAATTGCCCCGTATCACCAGGCTGGGGTTCAATCGTCCGCCTTGGACAAAGACAGCCCTTACAGGGAGGTCTCCAGGAACGTGGGCAGCTTCCCAAGGTGTCTCACGGGTTCTGGGCAGCGTTGTCTGTCTGTGGGCCGATGGGTGTGTCTTTTGCAATCCTGTTGGGGCGCCTGGATTTGGGAAGTCTTGGCTCCTCTCCCTAGAGCGATGCAGGGCATCGGATTGTTGCTGGCAGCTGAGCTCCAGCGCCTGCAGCCACTCCATCTCCTTTCCCTGCTCCCCCTGCTGGGATTTACATGTTTCCATTCCCTTCTCTAGTTTTCTCTACTCTGAAACTGGCTGACCTCTCCCCAGGGAGGAAGCAAAGGAAGTAAGTTGACCATCCTTGCCTGCTCTCACTATAGGCCCCGCCACCCAATCTGCCTGCCCCTGGGAACCCGGGACCAAAAGGAGTCAACAAACATCCTCGCCTAGAAAAAGCATTTACCACTGGGTCCACATGTTAAAACCAAGTAGGACAGGTTTGAAAGGTGGAAGATACTTCACAGACAATGTGGGAAAGCTTACATGAACAGTCTCTTGCTCATCAACGTGTTGAATTTGAAGATAAAACCAGGATGGGCGTAGGTTCCTTGGAAAGCAGTTGGAAGTGTTTCCAACTTGAGCGGGGAGGGGGTGGGGGATAGTAGGGGATGGGATGGGGGACTGGGGGTAGCGCAGTGGGAGATAGAGTGCATGCTTACCTTACGGGTCTCTTTCTCAGCTACCAATTAAAAAGGTTCTATAGTAGGTCACAGGGTTACTGCTTAAGGGATGCCAACGCTTTCTGCCTTTTGAGTTGATGATTGTGGACTCTCTAGCCAGCCTTGAGAAAGTTCCTAGGAGAATAGAGGTCTGGCTCTTCCAGAACATGGCCACACTGAGGGCTGTTTGTATCTGCTGTAGCCAGATACAAACTTGGACTGTAGGGCATTTTGGAAAACAACCTGAGAGTAGAAATATCACACTTCAGACAAGAAACTGGCCTATGGGGTGCTGTAAACTCTGCCTGCAACACTAGGGGCATTAAAAACAGAAAATGAGAACTAATAAATGCTAGCTCTGGAATGGTGAGATGTCTCAATGTGGTAAAGGCCCTTGCTACCAAGCCTGATGACTTGAGTTGGTTCCCTAGAACCCAAACAATAGGGGAGAAACAATGAGGTCCTCTGCCCTCCACACATACAAATAAATATAATACAAAAACTAAATTTTCACTACCCAGTCCCTTAAACAAGAATTAGTACTTGAGTTGGGCATGGTGGCACACACTTTTAATTCCAGCAATCAGGAAGCAGGGGCAGGCAGATCTCTGAGTTCAAGGACAGCCTGGTCTACAGAGCAAGTTCCAGGACAGCCAGGGCTAAGGCTACATAGAGAAATCCTATCTGGAATCCTTCCCCTGCCCACCCCCAGGAAAAAAAAAAAAAAAAGTAGTACCTGTTTCAGTTTGTAACAAATGCGTGCTTGAAGACCCAGATCCAATTAAGCACATCAGCATAATCCTGGCACCCATGAAGTAAAGGCAGGATGAGAAGTTTGACCCAGCTTGGGCCGTATAGCAAGATACTGTGTCCATAAAAAGGAAGAAGGAAAGAAAGAGGAAAGGGAAGGGAAAGGAAGGGAAGGGGAAGGGAGGGAAGGAGAGGGAAGGGGAGGGAAGGGGAGGGAAGGGGAGGGAAGGGAAGGGAATTCCAAGTAAGAGTGTTCCTTTTAAGCCAGTGGAACTACAAGTGGCACATTGACACCCGGATGGTCAAGGTAGTGAAACTCTGTGCTTGTCTTTCTAGCTGCAGATGGTCTCATCCCAGTCTGTCAACACCTTTGAAACAGATTCAAATGCTTTCTGGAGAGCCATCTCGATTCAGCTTGCAGGCATTCTTGGGGCCCCTTCCAAGAAGAAATGGACTGGCACGCTGTCTGGGCTGGACCCACGTCAGCTCTGCCTACTTGGGAGTGAAGCCTCTCTCCTGCTGACTGTCTGATGGCAAAAGCTCAGGCTCTCACTCCTCAGTCAACACCTGCAAATCTCTGCAGCTCTGGCTCGCTCACAGGCCTTAATCTTTAGCTCTCACGAAGCCGAGACAATTCTTTTTATAAAGAGACATTAGGCTATATTAAGTTTCTCTTCCCCGAATTCTCTTTCTTCAACTTTCATCACTGCCCTTCTATTTATTTACTGCATCTCTCAAATGACCTAGGACCTCAGGAAGACAAGGAAAACCTGGTCCCAGCCTTCATGATCTATAAACGCTCTGAACGATCATGTTATAACCGCATTAGAGTTATTATTATTGTTGTTATTTTATTGTTGTTGTTGTTATTATTATTATTATTATTATTATTATTATTATTATTATTATTTTAAGACAGGGTTTCTCTGTGTAGCCCTGGCTATTCTGGAACTTGCTCTGTAGATCAGGCTGACCTCAAACTCAGAGATCCACCTACCTCTGCCTCTGGACTGCTGGGATTAAGGATATGTGCTGCCACTGCTGAGCTTATATGTTTGAGATATTTTTAAAGAGGTGATAGATGTTTGTTTGTTTTTGTTTGTTTGTTTCAAGACAGGGTTTCTATGTGTAGTCTTGGCTTTCCTGGATGTGCTTTGTAGACCAGGCTGGCCTTGAACTCACAGAGATCTGCCTGACTCTGCCTCCATGAGTGCTGGGCATCACCGAGCCCAACTGATGATAGATGTCTTACAGCCTTCTGTCCCCTTCACCATACAGTTGCCTCAACCTAACAAAGTAAGAGACTTGATGCTTGAGTTCTTGGCTGTTCTGGCTTATATCCCAGCTGTGGTCAGATTTTCCGAATGCTCATTCCTTCTTTACTGGATTACTTATCTGAATTGCCAGGAGGGCAAAGGCACAAAGAATATAGGAAATGAATAAAATGATTGACAAAACCAGTTGTAGATGGTCAGAGTCAGAGGTCCTGGCTGCAAGCATCAGAAACCAATCTGACTTAAGCAATTTGTTGAAACACTATTGGACAACTCAGATTTACAGGAAGATTAGAATGGGTTCAGAAAACACAGATACTATGGGGCTGATGGTGTAGCTCAGCTGGTACAGCACTTGCCTAACATGACAAAGCCTTAGGTTCAATCCCCAGCATTACATGAACTGGGCCTGGTGCTACATGGGTGCTTGTAATCTTAGCACTTTGGAGGTGGAGGAAGGAGGATCAGAAATCCAAGGTTTGGTTGGAGCTGTGGCTCAGTGGGCAGAATTCTTGTCTAGTGTGCATGAGGTCCTGAATTCAAAGCTCAGCGTGCAATACACTGGGTGTAGTAATTCATGCCTATATCCCAGCACTTGGGAAATGGTGGCAGAGGGTGTTCTCTCAGAATAATCCTTAGCTACACAGAGTTTAAAGCCAGCCTGAGGTACATCAGACTCTGTAAAACAAAAACAAAAACAAAAACAACAAAACAAAACAAGAACATTAACAGCAGCAGCAACAACAACAAGAACAACAGCAAATGTGCAAGCAAGCAATCTAACACAGGAACCAGAAATGGAGGACGACAGCCGAGGCGCTAGGGGTACAGGCACAGAACAGACAGGGTAAGAGATACCACAGAGTACAGTGGCTGGGGCTGGCTTGTAGGTCGCTCTGCTGCCAGTTTCCCTGGATGTCACCATGCACACCACTGTCCTTAGAAAGCTCCTTCGGAAGCTTTCCATTTGATAATACTGATTATTTCCAGCGGCCCCTGTGGCAGGTCCACCTGCTTGGCCAAGTCTCGCTTATACACCCGCATCCATTCTGTAAAGGAAACCAAGAGAAAGCACATGTGACACGTGGAGCTCCCTCCCGACTAATAAATGCTGAGGACAGAACTAAGGCAAGCATTCTACTGACGTACACCCCAGCCTTGAGGCTCTTCATGGTTATTTTATTAATTTTTAATTGGCGGTAAAATGTGGCCTTCATCATGACTTTCCCTTGAACTTTTATATTACACCTACAGTCACCCTCCCATTGCCTTCTCTGTGCTCCCACTGGATCCCCTCCTTCCCTCAAATATTCCCCCCTGCATTTATTAATTTATTTATTGGGAGGGGGTTTTAAAAGGTGTATTTTTAGTGTTTATACCCGTGCTTGTCTTGGTGTGTGCATGGGCATGTGTGTGTGTGTGTGGGGGGGGGGTGCCTGAGGAGAACAAAGGAGGATGTCAGAGGCCCTGGAGCTGGACTTCCAGGTGGTTGTGAGCTGCCCATTATGGGTGCTGATAGCCAAGCTGAGGTCCTCTCAAGAGGAGAGGTGTGGAGATTGGGCATGTGTGCTATGGCATACATGAGGAAGTCAGAGGACAATCTGTGTGAGTCATTTCTCTCCTTCCACCATGTAGATCCTGGAGACTAAACCCAGGTCACCAGGCTTGGCAGCAAATGCTGGGCTGTCTCAGCCGCCCCTTACCACATTTTTTTCATGTATTCCCTGGGAGGATATCTAGTCTGATTCCGTACCTTGGCTGGGATTCTTTCTTAGGTTATTAAGTTTCAGAAACTGGCCAACATTCTAATCAGGGCTTCAGGGGAGTTCAGAACAGAGAAGCCAGCACACTCCTCATAAATCCCCTTCCCCTAATTCCACAAAAGCAACCGGTCTGGGCCAGAGATGCTGACTCGCGAGAGCACTGGAAATGAGTCCAGTACACATATTCTGGTACTGAGCCCAGTTCCTGTTGACCAAGGAGCAACCTTACTAGGCAACAAGAGCACGATGACTTCCTAGAAGAGGGGAAGACAAACCTCTGCTTTTCTCTTTCTCCTCTAAGAACCCCCTCCCAGCACGGCTGAAGCAAGGACAGGAAGCCTAGGGTGCTCAGACGCCCCAATTTGCCCAGGATCCAGCCCTGCCTACTGTAGCCATCCTTCCCACACCAACAGGAAGGATGTCAAAACTGCTCCTATCTGGATACAAAAAAAAAAAAAAAAAAAGCTAGATCCTGTGTCAGGGGCTTGTACCATTGGCCGTGACTTCTTGTCTCAGACCTAATCCCAGCATTCTGGGAGGCAGAGGTGAGCACTCTCTGTGAGTTTGAGGCCAGCCTGGTCTG